GATGAGGGGATAGTGGTGGGTAGTAGGAGCAGGCAGAGAAAGTGATGGACAGTGATGGAGAAAGCAGATGGGTGAGATGGAGTAGTGATGGAGCAGTGGTGTAGAAAAGTGATAAGAGATGGAGTAATGATGGAGCAGTGATGTAGTAGTGATGAAGCAGTGGGTGGGAGTGGAGCAGTGGTGGGGTAGTGGTGGGAGCAGTGGTGGGAGTAGTGATGGAGCAGTAGTGGGGTAGTGATGGAGCAGTGGTGGGAGTAGATGGCAGTGGTGAGTAGGATGGAGCAGTGGTGGAGTAGTGATGGAGCAGTGGTGGAGTAGTGGTGGAGTAGGATGGAGTAGTGGTGGGATGGGTAGTGATGGAGTAGTGGTGGAGGTGTGATGGAGTAGTGGTGGAGTAGTGGATGGGGTAGTGATGGAGTAGTGGTGGAGTAGTGATGGAGTAGTGATGGGGTAGTGATGGAGTGGTGAGTAGTGATGGAGTAGTGGTGGGGTAGTGATGGAGCAGTGGTGGAGAGGGTGGAGTAGTGATGGAGTAGTGGGGTAGTGATGGAGCAGTGGTGGGAGAGTGGTGGAGTAGTGATGGAGTAGTGGTGGAGAAAGGATGGGGTAGTGATGGGAGTAGTGGTGGAGTAGTGGTGGGAGAAAGGATGGAGTAGTGGTGGGAGTAGTGATGGAGTAGGATGGGGTAGGAGGAGTAGTGGTGGAGTAGTAATGAGAAAGATGGAGCAGTAGGAGTAGTGGTGGAGTAGTGATGGAGTAGTGGTGGGGTAGTGATGGAGCAGTGGTGGAGTAGGTGGAGAAAGTGATGAAGTGGTGGGGTAGTGATGGAGTAGTGGTGGAGTAGTGGAGCAGTGATGGAGCAGTGGTGGAGTAGTGGTAGGAGTAGTGATGGAGTAGTGGTGGGGTAGTGATGGAGCAGTGGTGGGAGTAGTGGTGGAGTAGTGATGGAGAAGCGGTGAGTAGTGGAGTAGTGATGAGGGTCAGCACACGCTGGGGGCGCCTCCTGGTGATGGGACAGAAGAGCTTGGCAGTTTGTCGTACAACATCCCGGAGTCCTTGAAGATAGGGGTAGAGTGACTCAGTTTGTTCCACAGGTGGATCACGTACGAGTTAAGGGAAACATCTGTCGTATATGAAGGCATTAAAGGCACGTAACATAATCATAACATTTCGTAAACAAAAAGAAAGGAAACATTTCACAATAGGTAAAAATATTATGAATTAGATTAAATTTGACCCCAGATAAAAAGTTCAATGAATGAAGTGAATTAGAATATGACATTAAGGAGTAGATCCTTATGATGACGTAGAATCTGGATAATTTGAAATTCTCCACAAGAGACGAGAGACGTATTGCAAAAAATTCTGGCCAGAATGCTGTCCCCTTATCACATTGTTGAGTGTGGGAAATATAATTTTATATGCCACAATGTCGCATATCACAAAGGTTTTCAAAACAGGAACCCTACCATTAGAAGGACTCCTGGATCTGTTACATCCAAGTGTCACATTTAACCTAAGATTTTCATACGTTCCACAAGTTCTTTCAAACATAAACAAATACCCAGCACAACCATCAACACCCACGCACCTTAAGTACGTCCACACCACTCAGGGCTGTGAAGAAGTCCTTCCAATTTGTAATACGCAAAGGGTAGAAGGCACGTTGGTGCAGTAGTGTCACCCCTGACACTTGTCCCCAGCAGCCAGCCTTGCCACATGCCATCTTAGCACCTTCGTCACCAGCATTGGTCCGTTAATCCCCCACAATTCGGCTGAAAAGAAGACGAGGTTAAGACTGTACAACCCTGTGTTTCAGGTCATTTGAGACTCTGATGATTTATGTAGTAAAATGTATAATTATGTTACACAAAATAGGATAATGGCCAAATAGCGATAACTTTATGTATTTCTTCTATTTAGACATTTGATGACAGAGACAACCACGTAAATAAGTAATAGTTTCATGGAAAACCCAAACCAATCTAACCTTGCGCAATCTACACTAAGTATAATCTGTCTGTTTTATCTTGGTAAACAATGTCTTAAATATGGCGACCTGTGGTGCATGGGCAGCATGCTCGGCCCGCAAGCAAGCGGACCTGTTGATCCCGGCTGGTGAAACTATGGGCAAGTTTCAATACGCCATTTGCCCTGTCTACCCAGCAATAATTGGGAACCTGATGTTAATCGATTTGTGGATCGTGTGCCGGGGTGATGGTTAGCCAGTGCATGCGAGTTGTCCGGTTTTCGGATTATTCCTTGACACTGGGTCATGCAGCTCGTTAACCCAGAGGTGATTCTGTGTTACCGACAGCTTCGAAACTTAAACAGATTCGCGCAGAGGTGGTTCTGGTTCGGCCATCCTCGATACACGAGGGCAACCATTATTTAAATGAAAAATATAAAAATTTACCATATACTCATTAATTTCTAGTTGTAGTATTAAAAGCAATTTTTTCCCTATTTGACAAAAAGCATGTTTTTTAAAACTTAATCAGCGACTGTCCCTATTAGGCATAACGTGTAAACTGACAAATGCAATTGTATAAAATGTAAAATGAAGAACCATTGGTAGTCAAGAGGTGGTCACAACGGGTTAGTGTTGCGCTGGTTGTATTGGAATATAAAACTACTCAGGAGGAAAAAAGTTATCGTATAGTCAGTCATCATGAACATACATTAGGATGACTCAGACAGCACCAAACACGGCTACAAAGAGTGGGGAAGTAACGCCAGATGGAGAGCGGCAAAAGTCATGTGTTTTTATTTGTGTATTGAGAGTAGGTAGAGATGATCGTAGAGTGATCCACATAACTGATCAACTCTTAAGCTCTAGCTAGTGGTCATACTCTCTATGTGTGAACAGAAGTGAACGTAGTAGTCTCTATATACTGAGTGAACGAAATGAACTGAGAGAAGAAATAAAAAAAATAGTCTCAAGTGAAGACTTCGCTAAACATCACTTACGCTGAAGACTTCACTGTTGTTTCATGAAGGCCTCCAGCATAAGGGTGATGTCTGTCAAAGTGAAACACGGCGCCGTTCACCCTCTTTTCTGACGATGCTGATGACGTTCTTCAGGTGGTGAGAGAAGGATGCACACCACGTCATTGTCGCTGTACAGGCCCCCAACCTGCCACACCAGCGCCAGGCGAATCATGTTGCTGAGACTTACTGCTGGCCACGCTGACGAAGGAAGAAGACACAAAACGTAGGGTGGAGCCACCAAACACAAACATTGGTTGTAACATGTGTTGATGACTGTTATTATCAACTGTGAGATTCACGTCCACGCCAACGTAACAGTGTTATGAATAATGTTGTAAACATCCTGGACAAAAGTTACCAACAGTAATTGGAAACAGTGACAGCATCACTGTTGTAAACAGTTTGGACCAAAGCTGGGAACAAGGTTAAGACTGATTTCACCAACGGCACATATGGTAACATTGTAGGCAACATTGGTAGAAACAGAGAATCACATCGTCCACACAAGCCGGTTCACTTGACAAGACGATGTCGGTGATCCATACCACAGCTTCATGCACCGCCGCCCACACTTCCACCTAGTACAATTAGCATTGTCAGTCCTCTCTCCATGATGTGAATCCAGAGAGAATTGAAACATGATTCCGAAGTGCTCATGAGTGAGGGGGGCTGTGTGATCATGACAGGGTACAGAGGTACACTCACTTCAATATTAACTGTACCAGGTGGAAGTGTGAGCAACTGTACATGTAGTACCTGTGATTGTGCTGCTAACCAGTCCACAACACTACTAACTACCAGTGGTGCCACTGAACTCATCAACTGTAAAGATAGTTGTAATAAACCAACACTGTTCCCAATTATAATATACCCAGTGTTTTCGTAAATCGTTGCAACGTTGCTTATAACAACGTCGGTGAAGATGTTACCGACAATGTTGGTAACATTGTCGGTAACTTTGTGTGATAACGATGCCGCCATTCTACACACACCAACTATCCACACTGTCTCTGTCCACACTGTTTCCGACCATCTCCCCAACACTGTTATCTTGGTGTACCCCGCCCCTTGGAAGGTACTGCACCTCGACCGATTCTCCACTGTCATAACTGTAAAGGTACCCGTCATGACTGGAAGTAACTGGTGGCTGTGGTAGTAACTGGTGACTGTGGTAGTAACTGGTGACTGGTAGTAACTGGTGACTGTTGTAGTAACTGGTGAATGGTAGTAACTAGTGACTGTGGTAGTAATTGGTGACCGTGGTAGTAACTGGTGACTGTTGTAGTAACTGGCGAATGTGGTAGTAACTGGTGACTGTTGTAGTAACTGGTGACTGTTGTAGTAACTGGTGACTGTGGTAGTAACTAGTGACTGTTGTAGTAACTGGTGACTGTGATAGTAACTGGTGATTGTGGTCGTAACTGGTGGCTGTGGTAGTAACTGGTGACTGTTGTAGTAACTGGTGGCTGTGATAGTAACTGGTGATTGTGGTCGTAACTGGTGGCTGTGGTAATGTGGTGACTGTGGTAGTAACTGGTGATATGTGGTAGTAACTGAGTGACCGTGATGGTAACTGGTGACTGTTGTAGTAACTGGTGACTGTTAGTAACTGGTGACTGTGGTAGTAACTAGTGACTGTTGTAGTAACTGGTGACTGTGATAGTAACTGGTGATTGTGGTCGTAACGCTGGTGGCTATTAGTGGTAACTGGTGACTGTAAGTGGCCTTTGGTGACTGTGGTAGTAACGCTGGTGACTGTAGTAGTAACTAGTGACTGTGGTAGTAACTGGTGACTGTGGTAGTAACTGGTGATTGTGGTAGTAACTGGTGATTGGTCGTAACTGGTGACTGTTGTAGTAACTGGTAACTGTAGTAGTAACTGGTGAATGTGGTAGTAACTGGTGACTGTTGTAGTAACTGGTAACTGTAGTAGTAACTGGTGAATGTGGTAGTAACTGGTGAATGTGGTAGTAACTGGTGACTGTGGTAGAAACTAGTGACTATGGTAGTAACTGGTGACTGTGGTAGTATCTAGTGACTGTGGTAGTAACTGGTGACTGTGGAAGTAACTAGTGACTGTGGTAGTAACTGGTGACTGTGGTAGTAACTGGTGACTGTGGTAGTAACTGGTGACTGTGATAGTAACTCAGTGGTGTGTCACTCATTTTGTGGTGGTAACTCACTGGTGTTGTGGTTCCAGACGGTGGAGGTGTACAGGTCCATCAGTGGTGTGTTGTAGAACACCTGACGCAGGTCCACCGTCACCACCCTCAGGTTGTGGTAGTGCTCCAGCAGGCGACCAGCCACACCCTGCCGTAAGTCCACCACCTGTGACATCATGACGTACCACACTACCGCTTGCGGGTTCTGCTGCGCCAGGCTGTGGCAAAACGTACTCAGTCAACGCCCTCACTGACGGAAAAGCACTGACGAAATCGAATTTATGGGAAGTCCGCCCCTTCAGAGCTCACACACGCGTACACGTGGACTCTAACGTAACACACAGGTACAGTACACATGTCCTCTTATGGTACACATGAAGACCCTCACGGTCTAGTGATATATACTGAAACTCCCCGGGTAGGGCGAGAAACTAGGCAGGTCTCTTTACACCCGTTGCCTCTGTTCACCCAGCAGTGGGTAGGAACCTGGTTGTAAGACGGGTGTTGTGGGTCACATCCTGGAGAATGGTGTAATACAATAACATCTGAGGAACACCTCTCAAAGAAACAGGACGTGTGTCATACCTGGCGTCTGCCCCATGTTGGTCTAAACCTAAGTATAAAGAGCCTCCTACACCTAAAGGCACACACGGCCTCCTACAGTACAACTACAGGCACACACGGCCTCCTACGGTATACCTACAGGCACACACGGTCTCCTACGGTACACTTACAGGCACACACAGTCTCCTACAGTACACCTACTACCACACACGGCCTCCTATGGTACAACTACAGGCACACACAGTCTTCTACGGTACACCTACAGGCACACACGGCCTCCTACAGTCCAACTACAGGCACACACGGTCTCCTACGGTACACCTACAGGCACACACGGTCTCCTACGGTACACCTACAGGCACACACAGTCTCCTACAGTACACCTACAGGCACACACGGCCTCCTACAGTACATCCCACAGGCACACACGGCCTCCTATGGGTACAACTACAGGCACACACAGTCTCCTACAGTACACCTACAGGCACGCACGGCCTCCCTACAGTACACCTACAGGCACACACGGCACTCCTACAGTCCCAACTTCTGGGCACACACGGTCTCCTACAGTACCTACAGGCACTCGGCCTCCTACAGTACATCTACAGGCACACACGGCCTCCTATGCTACAACTACAGGCACACACAGTCTCCTACAGTCCCAACTACAGGCACACGGCCTCCTACGAGGTACACCTGCAGGCACACGGCCTCCTGAGTACACCTGAGGCACAGTCTCCTACGGTACACCTACAGGTACACGGCCTCCTACAGTACACCTACAGGCACACTGATCTCCTACGGTACACCTACAGGCACACACAGGCCTCCTACAGTACACCTACAGGCACACGGCCTCCTACAGTACCTACAGGCACACAGTCTCTTTGAGTACACCTACAGGCACACACACGGCCTCCTACCTGGTACATCTACAGGTACACACGGCCTCCTGTAGATACAACTACAGGCACACACAGTCTCTACAGTACACCTACAGGTACACGGCCTCCTACAGTACCTACAGGCACACACAGTCTCCTACGAGGTACACCCTGCAGGCACACGGCCTCCTACCAGTACACCTACAGGCACACACGGCCTCCTACAGTACACCTACAGGCACACACAGTCTTACGAGGTACACCTGCAGGCACGGCCTCCTACAGTACATCTACAGGCTGCGGCCTCCTATGGTATACAGGCACACACAGTCTCCTGCAATTTTCTGAGCACACGGCCTCCCACCACCCGAAAGGTACATCTACAGGCACACACGGCCTCCTATGGTACAACTACAGGCACACAGTTTTCCTACGGTACACCTACAGGCACACACGGCCTCCTGGTACAACTACAGGCACACACAGTCTCCTACGGTACACCTACAGGCACACACGGCCTCCTATACAGGTACACCTACAGGCACACACGGCCTCCCCTACAGTACACCTACAGGCACACGGCCTCCTACAGTCCAACTACAGGCACACACACGGTGCTCCTGCAGTACACCTACAGGCACTCACGGCCTCCTACAGCACACACGGCCTCCACACCACCCAGGCACACAGCCTCCCCACAGTACAACCCCACAGGCACACACAGTTCCCCTGGTACACCTACAGGCACACACGGCCTCCTACAGTACACCTACAGGCACACACAGTCTCCCCACGGTACACCCACAGGCACACACGGCCTCCTACAGTACACCCACAGGCACACACGGTCCTACAGTACACCAAGGCACACCACAGCTCCCATGTACACCCACAGGCACACATGGCTTCCTACAGTGGCCACACGGGCCTCCTATGGTACAACTACAGGCACAGGTCTCCTCACGGTACACCTACAGGTCACACACGGCTCCTACAGTACACCACAGGCACACACAGTCCCCACTGCACACCCACAGGCACACACGGCCTCCCACAGTACACCCACAGGCACACACGGCCCCTACAGTACACCCACAGGCACACACAGCTCTCTACGGTACACCCACAGGCACACACGGCCTCCTACAGTACATCTACAGGCACACGGCCCTATGGTACAACCACAGGCACACACAGTCTCCCCACGGTACACCCACAGGCACACACGGCCTCCTACAGTACATCTACAGGCACACACGGCTCCCTATGGTACAACCACACACACAGCTTCCCTCACGGTACACCCACAGGCACACACGGCCCCTATGGTACAACCACAGGCACACACAGTCTCCCACGGCACCACAGGCACACACGGCCCCTATGGTACAACCACAGGCACACACGGCCTCCTACAGTACATCTACAGGCACACACGGCCTCCTATGGTACAACTACAGGCACACACAGCTTCCTACGGTACACCTACAAGCACACACGGCCTCCCTATGGTACAACCAGGCACACACAGTCTCACGGTACACCCACAGGCACACACGGCCCCTATGGTACAACCACAGGCACACACAGCTCCCCACGGTACACCCACAGGCACACACGGCCCCCATGGTACAACCACAGGCACACAGTCTCCCACGGTACACCCACAGGCACACACGCCTCCCACAGCACACCCACAGGCACACACACGGCCTCCTATGGTACAACCACAGGCACACACAGTCTCCTACAGCACACCCACAGGCACACACGGCCCTATGGTACAACCACAGGTACACACAGCCCCACGGTACACCCACAGGCACACACGGCCTCCTACAGTCCAACCACAGGCACACACAGTCTCCACGGCACACCCACAGGCACACACGGCCTCCTACAGTACACCCACAGGTACACACAGTTTCTACGGTACACCTTTCAGGCATACACACAGTCTCCCTATGGTACAACCACAGGTACACAGTCTCCCCATGGTACACCCACAGGCACACACGGCCCTACAGTCCAACCACAGCACACACACAGTCTCCATGGTACACCCACAGGCACACACGGCCTCCACAGTCCAACCACACAGCACACACAGCTCCCATGGTACACCCACAGGCACACACGGCCTCCACAGCACACCCACAGGCACACAGCTTCCTACGGTACACCTTTCAGGCACACACAGCCCTATGGTACAACTACAGCACACAGCCCCCACGGTACACCCACAGGCCACACGGCCTCCTACAGTCCAACCACAGGCACACACAGTTCCTACGGTACACCTACAGGCACACACGGCTCCTACAGCACACCCACAGGTACACACAGTTTCCCATGGTACAACTACAGGCACACACGGCCTCCTACGGTATACCTACAGGCACACACGGTCTCCTACGGTACACTTACAGGCACACACAGTCTCCTACAGTACACCTACTACCACACACGGCCTCCTATGGTACAACTACAGGCACACACAGTCTTCTACGGTACACCTACAGGCACACACGGCCTCCTACAGTCCAACTACAGGCACACACGGTCTCCTACGGTACACCTACAGGCACACACGGTCTCCTACGGTACACCTACAGGCACACACAGTCTCCTACAGTACACCTACAGGCACACACGACTCCTATGGGTACAACTACAGGCACACACACACAGTCTCTACGGTACACCTACAGGCACACATGGCCTCCTACGGTACACCTACAGGCACACACGGCTTCCTACCGTACACCTACAGGTACACACGGCCTCCTACGCTACACCTACAGGCACACACGGCCTCCTGCGGTATACTTACAGGCACACACGGCCTCCTGCGGTATACTTACAGGCACACACGGCCTCCTACAGTACACCTACAGGCACTCACGGCCTCCTGCGGTACACCTACAGGCACACGAGGCCTCCTGCGGTATACTTACAGGCACACACGGCCTCCTACAGTACACCTACAGGCACTCACGGCCTCCTACGTTACACCTACAGGCACACGAGGCCTCCTGCGGTATACTTACAGGCACACACGGCCTCCTGCGGTATACCTACAGGCAGGTTTACCCATCTTACCTCTCCACGGCGCACCAAGCTCGGTAGGATGGCTTCGGGTTGCAGGATGTCTCAGCCAGTAGGATGTTGCTTACCGTCCCCTTCCATTCCTTCTCCAAACTGGCGAAGGACAGAACAAGAAAACAATACGAGTTAAGCAACTGAATGAAGGTAGAAGAGAAGAGATGAGTAGGAAAGTGAAGATCTTTGATAAAAAAAAGTCTGTATCTGAACTTTGTGTCTGTAGTCTGTAAGGTAAAGCTTTAATCACGAGTTTACTTTGAAGAACTCAGTCTGCTCTACCTACCTGAAGAGCTTTGTCTACACAACCTATCTGAATCACTCCACGTGTGAGACCTACCTGAAGAGGTCTTGTAGCTTCATGTAGTCTTTAGGAGCCCCGACTGGTAGAGAACACTCCACCGTGCCCCTCCTCCACACAGCCCCGCCCTTCATGTAGTAATTCTCATCTACACCCACCTCAACCTTGGAGGGTATCATCTCGTTCTCGGGAGACAGGAGGACAGGAGCTCCCGACCACCACGAAGACACTCCGCTACCGAGGCCTCCCATTTCGAACTGGAGGGACGTTCTCCCTAGGAAGGCAACAGATGCTCAAGAGGGCAACAGGTGCTGATATATCAGAAAAAGGCTTTCATATCCTACATAAAAAACCATAACCATTTGTTTTTCTTTCTTATAGTAAAACTATAATATAATTTATAATTTCACAAAGCAAAGATTTAATCGGATATCAACAGGTGTAGGCGGATGCCAAGTAATAACAGGTGTGGGTGAAGACCAGGGATCAACAGATGTGTTTGTGTGTGTGTGGATGCCAGGTATTAACCGGTGTGGGTGAAGGCCAAGTAATAACAGGTGTGGGTGAAGACCAAGTAATAACAGGTGTGGGTTGATGCCAGGTATCAACAGGTGTGGGTGGAGGCCAAGTATCAACAGGTGTGGGTGGAGGCCAGGTATCAACAGGTGTGGGTGAAGACCAAGTAATAACAGGTGTGGGTTGATGCCAGGTATCAACAGGTGTGGGTGGAGGCCAGGTATCAACAGGTGTAGGTGGTGGCCAGGTATCAACAGGTGTGGGTGGAGGCCAAGTATCAACAGGTGTACGTGGCCTGGTATCAACTCACCGTTTAGGTTAGACGTGTAGAGAAAGCACACGAGAAAGCAGATGCCAAGAGAAGCCTGAATCACCGATCTTCTATTACAAGTTCTCATCTCTCTGTTGTCAAGATTCACAAAGAAAATACGAATCATATGAACAGAACACGAAACTGCACCGAGACTTTAAACTTTTTAATTTAAGTTTCTAAAAATATAAAGTGGAAAATTTATCAGTAGTTTACAAAATAAAGATGATATTAAAATACTGGATCTACACTGCAGTTACATTACATTAGTTTTGGGAGATTTGTTTTTTAAGGGAGACGAGATATGGATTTCAAATTTACGTGTTCTTATGTGACTCTGGGTTTACACACGTCTGGTCTGATGTCCTCCACCTATCGTACTGACATGCATGGTCGCTTCTCCGTCACACCTTCCATCCCTTACTCCACCCGTCGTAGATTGCTGTTACTGTTATTAGTACGGTACATTTCCCATTGCTACATTATTATAGCGCTTAACAAAAAAGCGTTTGAATCTCTCTCCACCACCTCTAGCCTTAACCAGAACAATACTTAAGATACGTTTATGTGTTTTTTTAGTTCCGTCAAATTTGAGTCTCATTAGAGTTTTACGATGACAGACAACATCATGTTAAGGTAGAGTCTCAGTGGTAATTTAGGCGCCATTTTGTTCTCCGCCTTTTGTTCTCGTAACTGAAAGGTAACAGCCAGTTAGATATTAATTTCCTAGATATAATGATAGTCTTGTTGATTACTGAGGCACTGACAGTCTTGTGACGGAGCTGAGTGCTTCTGTTTACTTCCTGCAGTCCTTGTTAGTTAGGGCAATTTAACTGTAGTTTTATTTGATTATTCTCTCCTATTTACTTGTCTTCAGGTGTAAAGATTATTGAGAAATATATATATATATACTTATCTATCACACTCTAATTCTGCCTACCTGTTTTTGTCTTATATAAATAATTACTTCAGTAAGATGACAGAATCCTTTGAAAGCGATGTCTTAAACCTATGAGAGTACTATATCGAACTCGGCAAGTTAGGTCATTGTATTGAAGGGGTCAAGTTATTGTACTCAAAGGGTTATGCCATCTTAGTCAAGGGATTAAGACATTGTATGGGAGAATTATCATCAAATTAACTGAATTAATACAGTCGACACTAAAATTTCTGGGTACTATCGGGAAGTGAAACACATAACGGTTACTCCCGTTCTCAGCCCGTCTTAAAAGTGAGGGGGCGCTTGAGTACTGGTCAGGTCAGAGTGTGTGATACAGTGGTAATACGTGACCACTTTATTGAATAAATGATTAATAGTGAAATATCCATATTCCCAACAGTCAATCGTAACAATTTCTGTGCATGATGTGTGACGTTAGCCTCACCCCTTGAGTACGACCATTGAACTCTTGGACATAGCTGTCAAAAACCACAATGGAGAAATCTCAACAGTTTGTGGCTGAAGATTGTGGTGAGCAATAACCTGAGAACATGTGGTATTATTTGAAGCCTCTGGATGGTAATAGTCACAACGATTTCCTGATACGACAGAGAATATTCTTTCTTTATTTTCGATAGTTCTTAGTTATCTTAGTTGTAGAGGCACAGAAATAAATATATAAACAAACATAACGGAATGCTAAATTCAAATTGGGTGGTGACTTCAGGCTGTTGCTCTTATATGATGAGGAGCAAACAGCAGGGAGTTAAGCTGGGCGGCAACTGACGGCAGCACTACAAATAGAGTCGTCTTTCGTGACATTATTTTGAGTGATAGTTACAGTAATTGACGTTTTAAAAGACCAAAGCTCTCATCTGATAAAATGGAGGTGATGTGAATTGTGGTTTTATGCCCTCACTGTTTTACAGGCATAAGAAAAACCTACGCGTAATGGAGGGTAATTGCTAACTTTTGTTCACTCGCTCTCAAACCTCACCGCTACATTTTTGAGTCACGTTAAGCATCAATTTCAATTTCAATTGTTTATTCCTTGATAGAGGAAGCGGGATCCTAGTGCTGTCACTAGGTACCCCTGTACAATGACACCAGAAGCATCTGGCAAGTGTGAAAAGTATATACAGTATAAATATTATAAAGGGGCTTACTAAAGCCTAAGGAAGGAAGGATGTTCCTTTAACACATAATCAATATTATTTACAAAATATCTGGCCAGTATTGGGAGGATCATCGTGTCTCCGTCAGGGGGTCGTGGAGTGGTGGTCCAGCAGGCGTCACGGAAGCGTTGTGTGTGGTTAAGCATCTGTCTTTTACGGTTTCATTTTATCGTACACCGCCTCCCGCTCACCTCCCCCCACAACTTCCCTCCCTCCCACTCACCCCCCCCCCAAAACCACATCCCCGCCACCCACCTCACCCACCCCACCCACCCCATTACCCCCAACCCACCCCACCCCACCCACCCCACCACCTCATCTCCCCTACCACCTTCCCTTCGTCACGATTGGCTGTATTATTGTCCGGTCGGTAACTCAAGCATTACTGGTCTGCAGATGTAATTCTTAAGTAATTCGTCGAGTGACTGTAACACGGGACATTGAATGTTATTGTACGGGATTTAGAAGAAAAAAATATCCATTTGTTTATATTTGACGAAATTTATCCTACTATACAAAAATATCCTAATTATTTATACATTCTGATGCTATTTAGTGTTTGTGAAGGTTAGTTTATACAGATGGTACTTATCAAGAACTCGTTACATGTTAATTGTCAATGTAGATAAAGTATAAGACAGCAATTTATGTTATTTTATTTCTTACTGAGGAAGAATAACAAGAAATCATTTATAACTCTGCCTAAGTTTTGGATACATGTACTGGAGGTGGAGTCATTAGGCAAGAGCAAGGATGAACACGAGTAAAGGTTGGGTGAAGTACAGTTCCGCCTTGATGATTATCCCAGTAAACTACCTAAGTGTAGAATCAGATTAACTGTTTATTACATGTACTAGCTCCCACTACAAACGGGTATAGATAGGGTTCATGCTAATAGTAATAGTTCATACTAGGAACATAAGTGATAAAGTCATGCTACTAGTACTGGCTCACACTTCACACTTACTACGTTTTAACACTTCATTGGAAAAACGAATTCTCGACTTCAGGAACGTTAATACACTACATTAAACCATCGACCACCGCCAAATACTCATCTTAATTACGTTGTTTGTATATTTTTTTCATTTCGAAATCTTTGTACCTGTAACTTATGTGTGTACCTGTAACTTGTGTGTGTGTGTACCTATAACTTGTGTGTGCACCTATAAATTATGTGTGTACCTGTAACTTATGTGTACCTGTAACTTGTGTGTGTACCTATAACGTATGTGTGCACCTATAAATTGTGTATGTACCTGTAACTTATGTGTACTTGTGACTTGTGTGTGTACCTGTATTTTTTGTGTACCTTTGATGTGTGTGTACCTGTGGCTTATGTAATTGCACCTGTAACCTGAGTGTGTGTACATGTAATTTGTGTGTGTGTATCCTGTAACTTGTGTGTGTACCTCTAACTTATGTGGGTAACTTTAACTTATGTACTGTACCCAACTTGTATGTGTGTGTGTACCTAAAACAGTATGGCACATTATTTAACAGTTGCGGTCCAAATTCTACGACTGGCAGTACTCTGGCATTTAAATACTTGAGGACCATTATGAAAAATTGAGAGGTTTATAATTTTAACCCATTTTTTCTATATTTTTCTTTTTATTACGACGGTTTTTTTAAGCAGGTTCCGACATGAGATAAAAAGCAACGTTAAAAGATAAAAAAAAACATTCATAAATAAATAACCCAGAAGTGGATGACAGATACTGCTAAATGTTTTGAGAATATTTTGAGTCCATAATTGTATATTGATCGTCAATGGTATAACCCGATTCTTCTTCTTCATCGTAGTGGACAAGGACTGGAGCTTATGAAAAAAATCTTTATGAGGGAGAAAGACAATGATGCAAACTCATCTTTTTATACACTCAAAATAATGTCGAGGTAATACAGTGGTTAAAAGAAAAAAAAAACTACTGACGACCATAAAAAATATTAAAACTGGCAAAAAAATTTATTTATAGCTGTTACCTGTGTAGGAAATTAGGCATGAAGGGGGGTGGGAGATGCAGGGCGAAGGGGGAAGAGAGGGTGAGAGGCGAGAGGGACGGAGGGTGGTAAGTGCAATACGAACGAGATTCTGTCAGTCACACAAGTGAGCCAGTGCACCAGGCGGAGTAAGCCTGACCAGACGGGTGGAACAACACGTCTCAGATTCATAAAGTGACGTAATTGTTAAAAAAAATCATCTGTGTTGCCTCCTTAAAAAACAAACAAAAAACTAATGTAACTGTAGTAGAGTCTCGGTGTAGTTTGGACGCCATCTTTCATTTTGTATTCATCCGACATTCATCATAAACATCATTGTCCTCTCATCGGATTTTTGATCTGCTGATATAATATTCGCCTACCGTACGATTCTTGTTTATATATGATTCGTGTTCTGTTGACATGAATCGTGTACAGTACTCTTAAACATACATACATGCGTGTCTTGATATATTATTCTTGTTGTTGTTTTTTAGTGATTCTTGATAACAGAGAGATGTCAACGTATAGGAGGAACCTGATGATCCGTGCAACTACTCTCACCTTCCTCATCTGTTTTCTTTTCTCGTCACATCTGAAGGGTAAGTTGTCACCCGGCCCTCGCCTCCCTCCGCCTTGTTGAAACCTGCCCTCTCCCACCCACACCTGTTGATACCCGGTCCCTAACCCACACCTGTTGATACCTGGCCTCTCATGACAAATGTTATCGATTTTTTGGGGCAAGTATTCTTTTTTTACTAAATGCATCAGAATTTTTAGCACATGCTGCCTTCCAAAGCAGCTGCTGTCCTCTTTATCATCTGTTAACATATTCGACATCTGTTGCTCACCTCAGCAGCATCTCCTCTCGTCTTCTATAGTGAGGACGTCCCTCAAGTTCGAAATGGGAGGCCTCGGTAGCGGACTGTCTTCGTGGTGGTCGGGTGCTCCTGTCCTCCTGTCTCCCGAGAACGAGATGATACCCTCCAAGGTTGAGGTGGGTGTAGATGAGAATTACTACATGAAGGGCGGGGCTGTGTGGAGGAGGGGCACGGTGGAGTGTTCTCTACCAGTCGGGGCTCCTAAAGACTACATGAAGCTACAAGACCTCTTCAGGTAGGTCTCACACGTGGAGTGATTCAGATAGGTTGTGTAGACAAAGCTCTTCAGGTAGGTAGAGCAGACTGAGTTCTTCAAAGTAAACTCGTGATTAAAGCTTTACCTTACAGACTACAGACACAAAGTTCAGATACAGACTTTTTTTTATCAAAGATCTTCACTTTCCTACTCATCTCTTCTCTTCTACCTTCATTCAGTTGCTTAACTCGTATTGTTTTCTTGTTCTGTCCTTCGCCAGTTTGGAGAAGGAATGGAAGGGGACGGTAAGCAACATCCTACTGGCTGAGACATCCTGCAACCCGAAGCCATCCTACCGAGCTTGGTGCGCCGTGGAGAGGTAAGATGGGTAAACCTGCCTGTAGGTATACCGCAGGAGGCCGTGTGTGCCTGTAAGTATACCGCAGGAGGCCTCGTGTGCCTGTAGGTGTAACGTAGGAGGCCGTGAGTGCCTGTAGGTGTACTGTAGGAGGCCGTGTGTGCCTGTAAGTATACCGCAGGAGGCCTCGTGTGCCTGTAGGTGTACCGCAGGAGGCCGTGAGTGCCTGTAGGTGTACTGTAGGAGGCCGTGTGTGCCTGTAAGTATACCGCAGGAGGCCGTGTGTGCCTGTAAGTATACCGCAGGAGGCCGTGTGTGCCTGTAGGTGTAGCGTAGGAGGCCGTGTGTACCTGTAGGTGTACGGTAGGAAGCCGTGTGTGCCTGTAGGTGTACCGTAGGAGGCCATGTGTGCCTGTAGGTGTACCGTATGTGTGCCTGTAGTTGTACTGTAGGAGGCCGTGTGTGCCTGTAGTTGTACTGTAGGAAGCCCTGTGTGCCTGTAGGTGTACCTCGTAGGAGGCCGTGCAGCCTGTAGGTATCGTAGGAGGCTGTGTGTGCCTGTAGGTGTACCGTAGGAGGCTGTGTGTGCCTGTAGGTGTACTGTAGGAGACCGTGTACTCTGTAGGTGTACGGTAGGAAGCCGTGTGCCTGTAGGCAATGGCAGCCGTGTGTGCCTGTAGGTGGTACCAGGAGGCCGTGTGCCTGTAGGTACTGTAGAGGCCGTGTGTGCCTGTAGGTGTGCACTGTAGGGAGGCCGTAAGCAATACGTAACTGAACGAAGTGGCTACCGA